AAAAAAGTTTTGACACCGTGTATCTCGAAAACGAAAGCCCGGAGAGAAAAATGGAAGAGGAAAGAAATGTTTCTCTTTTCAAGAGGAATTTATAGTTTTCCGTTGCGACACTTATTTAAGAACACCCTGTATATTTGGCGTCACTTAGTTTTTTTTTATACTGTCACCAAGAGTGCTTAAACCACAGATCACAGAAACAATAGTGCAACCACAGAGCAGGTGGTGCAACTGTTCAATTCAATGATTAAATATTGAATATCTTTTTAAGAGAGTTGTCCATGGTTATTGCATATATATGACGTTTATTTCATGGTTTCACGAACATCAAAACATTAATTTTAAAAACCTTGGAATTTGTTTATGTTTCCCATATAAATGTTTCTATATAAACTGAACAATCTGCATACATCATTAATTTACGAGATAATGTGGATCGAAGTACTACAAGAGTCGATAATATCTTAACAAATTAAAATGGATCTCTTAGAATACCAAGTTAAAAATGTTCCACCATCAATTTATTATATTTCCAACTTTATTACTAGAGATGAAGAATCGCATATCATTAAAAATGTATATTCTGCGCCCAAGCCAAAATGGACATTTTTGTCTAACAGAAGATTGCAGGACTATGGAGGTATACCTCATGAAAAAGGAATGATACCGGAAAAAATACCAAGTTGGTTGCAAGTATACATGAATAAAATTGATGAACTAAATCTTTTTGAGGGCAAAAAAGTAAATCAAGTTCTTATAAATGAATACTTACCTGGTCAAGGTATTATGCCTCATACTGATGGTCCCATTTTTTCTCCTATAATAACAACGATAACATGTGGCTCGCATACAATTTTAGAATTTTGGGAAAATAGTGAATGTCGAACAAAAGTGTGTGATTTATTATTAGAAAGGTGCAGCCTTGTGATAATTAAAAATGATATGTATTCCAAATATTTACATTCCATTTCTGAAGTTGCAACTGATGTAATAAGCAGTACCTATGCCAATTTATGTAATTGTGGTATTAAATATTTCATAAACGATGCATTAAAACGAGAAACAAGAGTGTCTGTTACTATTAGAAATGTTCCTAAAATATTGAAAATAAAACTTTCATAATGGCCTTAAGAAATTCTTTGATTTATATAAAAGGGCTATAAAATAAAAATAGTTATTAGTCATTATTCGTCATTCAATTGTACATGTATAGGTATATTACTTCAAGTGTCATTAATGGAATTCATTGCATTAAAATAACGAATAAAAGCACACAGCCAATAACTAAAGTGTTGTCATAGGAAACAAGTGTTTGATTCGTATAATAACTAGGTACATCAATTATACAATCGGAATGTATTTGTGTTTCATGAGCAACATTTTTTCTAATTTTATAAACAAAATTGTACTAGTTACCCAATATTCGATAAAACAATTTAAATAATGAAAATATACAGGGTGTTAAAAAAAGAGTGTAAAATATTTAAGGAGGTAATAGTATGAACCAAAATAAGCAGAAGTCTCAATAAACATGGGTCCGCAAAGTAACGGTTGCGGAGATATGGAATGTTTTATGTTTTTTAGCCCCTTTTTTTATTTTGCAAAAACGTTGTGTATTTTCTTATAATAGTTGGTTGATGTTTAGTGAAATAAACAGTACGTATTTGACAGTTGTTCTCAGTGCACAAGTTTTCTTTCGCTATGGCTGGTTACTCTAACGCAGAATTAACAGACATGCATTTCATGTATGGTCGTGCTAATGGGAACGCCACCGAAGCGCGACGTCTTTATGTTGACGCTTATCCAAATCGCCAGATTCCTTCACAACGCATGTTTGGAAGAATTCACCAAAGATTGCGTGATACCGGTTCCTTGAGCAAACAGTGCCATTTATCCGGAAGACCAAGGTCGGTATCCACTCCTAGAGCAGAAGAAGAAATTCTAGCACTGGTAGAGCAGAATCCAGGTACGAGTGTGCGGAGAATATCAGCCGAGGTAGGAATTAGTGGTCCTCTTGTTTGGAGAATCCTTCACGAGCAACTGCTTTATCCATACCATGTGCAACGAGTACAGGCCTTAAATCCAATAAATGATCATCAAGCACGTTTGGTTTTTTGCCGCTGGTTTCTACGTCATGATGCTGAAGACCCTCGTTTTCTTGCAAACATTCTTTTTACTGATGAGGCCGGGTTCACAAGAAATGGAGTGTTTAATTTTCACAATACGCATATTTGGGCCGACGAAAATCCTCATGCTCTAATAGAATCTGGACATCAGGCACGTTTTTCATTAAACATTTGGATGGGTATTGTAGGTGACAGGTTTCTAGGTCCTGTTGTTTTACCAAACCGATTAACAGGCGCTGCTTACCTCAACTTTCTGCAGAACACACTGTATGAGTTTTTGGAAGACATTCCTTTGAATCAGAGGCAACAAATGTGGTTCCAGCATGATGGTGCTCCAGCTCATTTTTCCATGGCCGTTAGAGAGCATTTACACCAAACTTTTCCACATAGATGGGTAGGAAGGGCCGGACCTGTTTTATGGCCTCCAAGATCGCCTGATCTGAACCCTCTAGATTTCTTTGTTTGGGGATATTTGAAGACATTAGTGTATGGTACTCCTGTAAATAGCCTGGAAGAGCTGCAGCTACGGATTAATCAAAAGTGTCAAGAAATCCAAACCAAGGAGGGTGTTTTCGAAAGAGTTCGAATATCGTTGAGACGAAGATGTCGTGCCTGCTTGGAAATGGACGGAGGGCACTTTGAACATCTTCTGTAACTTTGTTTTTTGTTTGTTAAAAGCTTCCTTTGTCGGTTTATTCCTAATAAAATAAAATGTTTGAAAAACGAATAGTGGTCCATATCTCCGCAACCGTTACTTTACGGACCCATGTTTATTAAGACTTTTCTGCTTATTTTGGTTCATACTATTACCTCCTGAAATATTTTACTCTATTTTTAACACCCTGTATAATATAATAATAAGTTTGTAAAATATAACTTAAATGTTCAAGTTTGTCCAAAATAAAAGGCAGAACTACTAAGTTACAATAAATAGTGACAAATGATAGAGTGAGTTCATTTAAGCATGAAATCCACCAGCCAAATTATTCAGTGTCAAACTAGAAGATGACCCTCCTAAACTTCCTACAGAATATTTGGGTACTTATTTGCTTAACCTAAAATACATTTTTATTTGATTTTCTGCGGTAATTTGCTTTCGAACAGTTGCGAGTTATTTTAATTTTTATACTAATTATACACAGTAGATAATGATATTGTAATTGCAATTGCAATAACAATGAATGTGTTCTTTGCGACAGACCGCTCGCCGTAAAATTCCTCCAATCCACGGTAGTGTGGGGGTGGTTTACACGAACCAGGAAAAGGCCGAGGCTTTCGCCGACAGCCTGGAACTGCAGTGTAGACTGCCTCAGCTGCCCGACGAAGACGAGGAGTTCGAGATAGTGGCTGAGCGCGCGGCCCGACGCGTCGACAGAGAGCCAGACAATGACATAATCCCCCCCGCAACTCCTGACGAACTAAGACTGACAATACGCAGACTTAAAAACAGAAAAGCCCCCGGACCCGACAATATACATAACACGACACTTAAACGACTACCACACAAGGGCCTCATGGCCCTACTAAACATAACAAACGCGACACTCAGACTAAGACACTTCCCTACCCGCTGGAAAACAGCAAACATAATCCTTATCCCAAAACCCAACAAAGATCACACCATCCCATCCAACTACCGGCCCATTAGCCTGCTCCCGGCTATGAGCAAAGTGGTAGAAAAAATTATCCTAACCCGTCTAAGAACCCACTCCCAAGAACTGCAAGTCATTCCAGACGAGCAGTTCGCCTTCCGACCCAATCACTCCACTGAACTCCAAATCCTTCGCCTTACCGAGCACATCACGGCGGCCTTCAACAGGGGACAGTACACTGGTGCTGTCTTCCTGGACGTCGCAAAGGCCTTCGATACGGTTTGGCATGAAGGCCTACTGATGAAAATGCTCACCAACCAATATCCCATATCCTTTACCAAACTCATAAAATCCTACCTACACCACCGAAAATTCCGCATCCAAATCCAAGATTCCCTTTCCACCACCCGTCCCATGGAGGCCGGTGTCCCCCAGGGCACCGTCCTGTCCCCACACCTATACACCATTTACAACTCCGACATCCCACATCCCCCCAACACCAACATATACTTATACGCCGACGACCTGACAATCACATCCCAATCCGTAGATCCTAGATATTCCGTCT